CAAGAACACCATCCCCACCGTCAAACATGGAGGTGGAAACATTATGCTTTGAGGGTGTTTTTTCTGCTAAGGGGACCGGACAACTTCACCGCATTAAAGGGACGATGGACGGGGCCATGTACCGTCAACTCTTGGGTGAGAACCTCCTTCCCTCAGCCAGGGCATTGAAAATGGGTCGTGGATGGGTATTCCAGCATGACAATGACCCAAAACACATGGCCAAGGCAACAAAGGAGTGGCTCAAGAAGAAGCACATTAAGGTCCTGGAGTGGCCTAGCCAGTCTCCAGACCTTAATCCCATAGAAAATCTGTGGAGGGAGCTGAAGGTTCGAGTTGCCAAACGTCAGCCTCGAAACCTTAATGACTTGGAGAAGATCTGCAAAGAGGAGCGGGACAAAATCCCTCCTGAGATGTGTGCAAACCTGGTGGCCAACGACAAGAAACGTCTGACCTCTGTGATTGCCAACAAGGGTCTTGCCACCAAGTACTAAGTCATGTTTTGCAGAGGGGTCAAATACTTATTTCCCTCATTAAAATGCAAATCAATTTATAACATTTTTGACATGCGTTTTTCTGGATTTTTTTGTTGTTATTCTGTCTCTCACTGTTCAAATAAACCTACCATTAAAATTATAGACTGATCATTTCTTTGTCAGTGGGCAAACGTACAAAATCAGCAGGGGATCAAATTCATGTTTCCCTCACTGCAGGTGAAAAGGCAGTCGAAATTTCCAAAATGCTTGGTCTACCCCAGACCTCAAGAGAGAACTATTCAAGTTAATGAGGGAAAATTTCTAGAATGTGCTGTACTGGAAGCGAATGCGAGCAAGAACGTTTGTTTCCAGAGAAGACTTCTTTATATTTGCTCATTTACCACTTTGAGACAGTGAGGGCTACGAAAGGCTCTTCAAAAGAACATCTCCCTGTTGTTATTTGGCGATCGAATAAAAAAGCTTTGGTGACAATGGGTAGTTTTTCAAGAATAGTTTAATTCGCATTTCTACCTAGATGTGAAGAAAATGACAAAATCTACGTGTTCAGGTATTTTCTCCTGCCACCCAACACAACTTCATTGCTGCAGCCTATGGATCAAAGAGTTATCGCCAACTTTTAATCTTATATAAAAAAAGTAAGGCAAAACATTAAACTTAAAAGGAAATTGCATTCCCTTATTATCCACACCACACCTAATCCAAGCTGATCGGGGGAAAAGTCAGCAAAGGGCTTTTGACGTGGCTCTAATATCACGTCAGCCACTGGCATCGTTGAGGAGTCGTGGCAGGAAATAAACTCGTCAAACGTGAACGGTGTGGGTCGTAAGATCTGGCCCGAATGTGTCACCAACTCCGAGGCCATTCGAGGAGACAGTGCCAGAAATTCAACATGATGTTGTGGGATTGGCCTAAGAAAATGTGGAGGAGTCAGACAATGTGGTGGAGTTGCTGGAGTCCCATGGTGAGGACCTGTCAAATGAGCTGATGGAGCTGGAACAACGAGCTGAGGAAGAGGAAGATTAAACGAAACCACCATCACAAATCTTTGTGATAACCAGTTTGAGCAATGCCACATCGATACATAGTTAAATACGTAGTGAAATTAAATTTGCCAATCCTCCCTCATTTCTGTATGGACGGAGGTTTACATAGACCCAAGCATTTTGCAAACGCATGTGCAGATGAAGCCGTCTCGTCATCTCGCCGATGTAAGCTACGAGACCCCATGTTACAAGGTGGTCACCCCAACAAATTTCACTGGCCACAAAGCATGATATCGTGCACGGGATTTATCAATTGCCATTAACAACAAACGCACGGAAATGTGGTTTACAGCCACCCACCCCTCAACACAGACCACAGGCTATAGTTAAACCCCGATCGAAGCACACCTGGTAGGTTTTTCCAGCAAGTACAGCACAAACATTCCTACCGAGCCACTGCAGATAGGAAAAAAAGACTCGAGCACACTTGCTTATTCCTTAACCGCCTCACGTTCACCGGAATTAATGGAATATTGTAGCTCTGCACAATCATCATTTCCTACCTGACGGTGTTAACGGTTCGTATTTTAGCGGCGGGAGTTGCAGCAATGAAAAAGCATTTTGTGAACACAACCTAAAGTTCCCTGCTGGACTTGGGTGTCATTTTGAAAGACGACCGTTCTTTCCCTAACGAAAACTACTTCGAGACACTTACGAAGCAAAGTATCTGTGCGTGTGCGAGTGGTTTGTTACATTGGGTTTTACGGTAATATTAGTGTAATTTCACAACACTATATTTAAAATTTTCACCAACGCAGAGGAGGTGTGCGCTCACACAATGCTACTGAAACATTAGCTCTTGCATTCGGCAAAAAAAGCAACTGCATCTAATTTACCCCATTAAAAGATGGTAATCACTTCTGCTGAACCGCTGTGTTTTGCATCAATATCATTTTAAATCAGCATATTAATTTGAATGCACTACCTGCTGTGTTACATCATTTTAACGCATGTAAGCCTCATATAGCCTTACAATTGAGAACGTAATAAACTCACTGCCTGGTTTGAAAAACTCACCGGGGGCGGATTTTCATGATCAAGTCATGTTACGTACATTTCCAGAAACCCTGGTTCGTCTTTGTGAAAGCAGACTATCACCCAACTGTAGAAGGGCCATTGCCCCAAACGTCGATTATATGTATTTTAAGGCAGTATTATTGACGAATGTGTTTTTTTGTTAACTGTGCAGTGAAATGGGTACAATCGAAAAACACATGGCTTGCTTTGATACATTTCCATTGGATGCAGCACTTTAGCAAGTGAGATACTATTGCACCAAACAATACCCTGTAGAACAAAGTTTAACTGTGCAATGCAACTATGCACTTTGCGTCTTGGTACAGCCAAAATCAAATTAGTTGCCGCATGATCTGACTCGGTGAGTCTTAACAACATGTACACGGTGTGGTGCGGTGGGGGGTGTGGCGATGCCGTACGATCAAAGGACTTGCGTACGGGCACCATTTATAATACTGAGACGACGGGGGGGCGTTCATAACCAAGTACTTTTCTATACACACACCACCTCTACACGTTTGTGCGGATGGAAGGCAGTGGCAAGGCGGTTAACGCCACAAATATTGGAGACATGAGATGGAATTATTGGCCTTAAACGTACCGATATATTACACACTACATAAAACCCCCTGCTGCGCTCCTGTAGCAGCAGTCACTGTAATTGATCACTATCGCTCAAGTTGACCATGGAACAGCAGCAGGTGGCACGGCCAGTGCTGATGTTGTCCACAGGTACTTATTTTAGGCCGAGTCAACCAAAATGAAGTCAAAGTCAATTACGGAATGCTTTTTTTTTGCCAGTGGTGTGCATAACTTGGAATCAACCCACATCACCGGTGGTCTTAACACAAAGCGAGGGAACCACTAGGCGAACACTCGCCACATGTTCGTGATGTACGTACAGCGAGCCCTCTATTTATGCTCTATGGCAGGGGTGGGGAACCTTTTTTTTGCCAAGGGCCATTTGGATATTTATAACATCATTCGCGGGCCATACTAAATTATCAACTTAAAAATTAGCCTGTTATATTTGGTCAAACATTTAATTAACTCACCGCTAATGTGATGGCTGGAACTGCTTCTCTTTGGTGAGGCGTGTGATGATGTTAGCTGCTATTGATGATGTTGCTACTCGCAACTGCTTTTCCAGGTTTGCTCCGAGATTTATTGAATTTCGAGTCCCGCCTGCGGTTGCCTCGGCAGGGCCAGATCAAATGATTTCGCGGGCCTCATACGGCCCGCGGGCCGGACGTTCCCCACCCCTACTCTATGGGAATGTTCCATTTATACATATACAGCCCTTTTTTTCAATCTACTACTGGATGAGAGCCTTCCGAATCCATACAGGTTAAGGAGGTCATTTGTCCATACTTCACCATGTTTGACAGTGTGGGCTGATGAAGAAGGGGAGCATAGAAATAGTCTACCCAATGGGGGAGGGGGGCAATAATTGCTGTGAGCATTCCCAAAAGAGTAATTTGGGGTGTCATTTTAAGTTCAGCAAATGTGGACCCCGATGCCAGCACGCGATAGCCTACTCTTGTGAATGACTTCGGTGTCCTTTAATGTCCACTATCAATCAGACGTCGCACGTGGTGGTGGTGGTGGTGGTATTATTACCGTTATTACGCCTGTGGTATAATAACCAGGACGGCCGCTGGATTTGAAAAACTTCGAACTTCTGCAACAAGCGGAGAACGCGCCCGCCGCGTGGCCACGCAACACACGTGGAGAGAGCGCGTGTGTTGTGTGTGCGTGCGTGCGTACGCTGGGGTAGCTGGCAGTACTGACCTGCTTTTCCAGGTTTGCTCCGAGATTTATTGAATTTCGAGTCCCGCCTGCGGTTGCCTCGGCAGGGCCAGATCAAATGATTTCGCGGGCCTCATACGGCCCGCGGGCCGGACGTTCCCCACCCCTACTCTATGGGAATGTTCCATTTATACATATACAGCCCTATTTTTCAATCTACTACTGGATGAGAGCCTTCCGAATCCATACAGGTTAAGGAGGTCATTTGTCCATACTTCACCATGTTTGACAGTGTGGGCTGATGAAGAAGGGGAGCATAGAAATAGTCTACCCAATGGGGGAGGGGGGCAATAATTGCTGTGAGCATTCCCAAAAGAGTAATTTGGGGTGTCATTTTTAGTTCAGCAAATGTGGACCCCGATGCCAGCACGCGATAGCCTACTCTTGTGAATGATTTGGGTGTCCTTTAATGTCCACTATGAATCAGACGTCGCACGTGGTGGTGGTGGTGGTGGTATTATTACCGTTATTACGCCTGTGGTATAATAACCAGGACGGCCGCTGGATTTGAACAACTTCGAACTTCTGCAACAAGCGGAGAACGCGCCCGCCGCGTGGCCACGCAACACACGTGGAGAGAGCGCGTGTGTTGTGTGCGTGCGTGCGTGCGTACGCTGGGGTAGCTGGCAGTACTGACCTTCTCCTGGTTGTGGTTGTCGACTCGGTGGAAGGCCAGGTCCAGAGCGTCAACGGCGCGCGCCAACTCGTCGTCCTGGAGGCTCGACTGGCTTGACTGCAAGTCGGCCGTGATCTTGAGCGCGGACTTTGACACGGCTGTCACGGCACGGAGGTAGAAGAGAGAAGCGGGATGTTAGGGGGGTGGAAAGAGAGGACAAATGTCCAAACATTAATTGTACATATATACGCTTAACTTGCTGATCTTCTTTCACACCATACGCCAATGGACCGTGCTAACCGAGCAGAGCCAGCGTGGTGGTTTTCCAACGGCTGTTTGCCAAGCCGAACCAGAACCAAACTGCGATATATACGATGGCAGGCTGTCATTTTGAATGCATAATCCGCTATGTGCTTATATTACTTTGATTTTTAACAAGGCGAACACTGCATAACAGAACCACAATACAAAGGACCACCGCGTCCGGTATAGATGAATGCATTTAAAGAGGAACTCATTTGAGATTGAAGGCAGGAAAAAGAAGAAGCAGCAGAGAGAAAATAGTCAAGGAAAAAAAAAGGGAGTTGAACCTTGCAGTATACGCTCCGTGCTTAATTCGATCCGGCACAGCGGTGCCACGGTTAGACACACCTGACTCTCTATTGTGCTGGTCATAGATCTACCGAGCTCATTATTTTTTTGGGCGAATACAATGAGCACTACGTCTGGAGAACTACCGCTCGTCTCAGAGAGAGAGAGAGAAAGAGGCTGGTCCCACAACGGGAACGTGACATTTCCACCAGTGGCTTCGTGCCAACGACAGAAGAGTGCCAACCCCACTGTTGGGCTTCAGCAGGGAGACGTATTGACACATTGAAATGAATATATTGCAGAGTGTGTGGAAAGTAGACAACGTGTAAATGCTTGAACACGATTATTTTACTAGGTGCGTCTTCTTGGTCAAGATGCATTAAAATCTTCACAGCATACCTCTCTGATTGGGCAGTATCGAAATTGTTTCTCACGGATTCCAGAAATTACTGCTGTAATGAGCCAAGAATGTCTATTTGTGTGTAACGCCGCGCGTGACGTCACACCACATGCCGCACCCCCCCCCATTATTAATATTAATGAGCGGGTGGATATTTACACTCACGCAGAAGAAGGTGGAGCGGAGAGAATTTGTTTTGCAAATTCGCTTTAAGTTTGACGTTTCTTTATTGAAAGTGAATCTAATAAATAATTATACGCAGCAACAAAGTGGATTTGGTGTCTTTATTTATTCCTTCAGCACTTGAGACAAAAGGTAAGTTTAATTTATGCTTCTACATTATGGTAAAATAGACAGACATTTCTCGGTGATTTTCCAGATATTGTGTCGAATTCCGATTTATTTCAACCCCAGCGACCGAAAGCAGAACAGAATAAAGTATCAGAGCAGTGAATTTGAACAAATTGAAGGTCAGTTATATGCAGTGCTACAGGGAAATGCAGTTAAGTGTTTGATTACATACTTTCCTGCAAGATTCACTGCCATTAAATTTACACAAGATACAATTATAACTCTGCTCAATTTTTTCGTAAATATTACAGCTTCCGTCCGAGGACGGGCAAACAAGCTAGTGTATATTATAAACAGTTTTCCCATGAAATATAAACCTTTGTCACGTTATAAAAACCGGTGCTTTAATAAGCAAATTGAATAAACATTTTACATTCAATTAAAAAAATAAAAGATTTATCACGAACAAAGATATATATTTTTTGCCACAACACTGACAACAAAAATGTTCCAACCCCATTAAGGGCTCAAATGAAATTGGTATCTTGCAATGGCTTTTATAATAGAATATATTAACACTTACACACAAGTATGCCATTATTGCATCTAAGCTGCATTTTGAGCAGAGTTTGTTTTGCCGTCATCGCCAATTTAAGTCAACAGAAAATGTCTGTCTGTCTGTGTACCAATTAGGGTGATTCGGGTCACACAGGGAAATCCCCAACACTCCGTTAATACACATTTCACCGTCTCACCTCCGTCTGCCTCCGCGCATTTTTTCACGTCTTTGTAGAGCTTCTTAATTTGCTCGTCCAGCCTGTTGGTAGGGAGGAGCACGCATAAGCATCACAAGATCAAAAGGTCATCAGAGCCAATGCCATGGATGCCACACCACTGCATCAACACTCCCCACGCTTCTGCTAGATTCCTGTGACTGTAGGACAGTTGACGCTCGACCTGCAAGGTCTGCTCTTGCAGCATCCGAGCATCTGGACGTAAGTTTTTTTTCCCTTGGTTTCCGACCTTTGGGTGCCCACTGCAGTGTCTACCTCTGTGTAATGTGCCCCCCCTCCACCCTACAGACATGGTCCTACCCCATCATAAATTCATCTTCGTGATTATCTGGATGTTAACAGCCATTGACAACTGCCAATTTGTTTTTTATTGTTCTATATAGAGAGGAGGTGGCTGGGGAGCTAAGAGAGATGATGCTCATGTCAGAACACCGAGTTGGCAACCATCATAACCTGTGCCCCTTAACCAGGTATTAGCTGTGATTATACCAGCTTCTTAAGTGTAGCCAGTTAATTGTATATAATTGTTGAACAAATACAAGACCCATCACGATGTTTTCAAATTAATTCAGCTAAGTCAAATGATTGCTGCTACAATGGAAAAATACGCACCATTGCTGTGTGGCCAAATCACTCGTCAATGTACATAAAGGTGAGTCTTCTAATGTTTATATTCCTACGAAAGTGACTCATGGTGCCTTCTTTGGTCTCATCCTCTGCTGTCGTTCCCTGGCACTGGAACGCCGCGTGTTGCTCCGCTCCACACGACTAATGGGACAACTGTGACAATATTTGACGTTACTCCAAAAAAAAAGATGTCTAGTGACTTGTAGCGTCACTACCATGTGGACACACACACACGTGTGATGTCACTATGCGGGGTCTACACACACATGACGTCATCCCATCCGGGGGTGGGAATGACGTCACGGCCGGTTCAGGCGATCTGGAGGCCGTGGGTGCCCCGGGGGTTGTGTCAGGCCATGGCACTCCGAGTGAACCCGGCTGGACACGTGACCGGATCAAGGTGGGGGCCGGGGGCCCCGGGGGCACCTTGGGGGCCACGTGGACAGGAGAAGAGCCTTCTCGAGAGTTCTCGAAGGTGGGCGGGGCCGGGGTGTGGCCCGGACACACCGAGGCGCATATAAGCGGCCTCCGCACCGGGTTCAGGGCTGCTCGTGTCCGGGATGAAGATGCCTCATGAAGACGCCTCGTGAAGAAGAAGAGTCAAGCCTCAAGTCAGCGTGGCCATCCAGTAGCCCTCCTCCTGGCTGGGCCACGCTAGTTGTATCCGAGAGTCAGTGATAGTGTGTGTTAGCGAGGATAGGTCGGTGGTCACCACCCTACGTTAAGTGTTGCCGTTGTGTGAATAATAAATATTGCTGCATCCCAAGAAGTTGTGAGCACCTAATTCGCGCCCACTACAGATGTATGAAAAAACCATCGCAACACAAACAAGGACAATATCACTTCAGGGGAACCTCACTGAAAAAAAGACAAGTGTTCACCAACACGTGGTGGGAAACAAAGAAAATATGTTATATTTGTTGTCCCCGATTTGAGCATTACATCCCCTGGCTATCTCTTGGGTAAAAGTCCAGTCAATGTGTGCTACCTTAACATCCACACATCTCTAGCTAACAGGCAAGCACACTAACACTACTGTTCAGCAGCAACCCAAGTGACATTCCAGTGTTTTGCATTGGTGACTAATATACACGGTTGACTGGGCTAAAACCATTTACCCCTTTGAAAATACGTTGCGCCATTGAACCTTGCTTCATAATTCCTGCGCTTGTGCGCCTTATTTTATCCGAAACTATTTACCCAAGGTAGCTGCTCGATTGCACTTTTCGGAGCTCGTCTTCAAAAGGGGACCCTGCTCAAGCGTGCCATACATCACCCTCGCAGATGGTGCTATTAATCACGCGGCAATACCCGCTATTGAGAACAATTAATATTATAAATGGCCCAAAAACCGTGCCGTGACTAAACCCGGCGAAAGAATGTGGCTCGCTGCAACGTTATTCTACTCACTGTTGAAGTTTTCCATATTCTCGTTCAAAGTCTCGTTCCACCTAATGATAAAAAGACAAAAAAAATCAGAGATGTAAGTGCTTGTCGCGATCACAATTAGAGAACTGCAGAGAAAATCGTTGGCACCGGTTTACTGCCTGGCAGCCTTCCAGCTTGTCTGTCATTCCACAGCGATGATCGTGTGATCCAAGTTGCATCAACGGCACCGTATAAAATGCATCGCTAGATTATAATTTGTTTTAAAGTGCTCGAAGAAATACCCAGAGATCCAAGCTTCCAGGATAATATCCTCAAATGTTCCCATGGTATTTCAGCATTGACATTTCAATATCTGACCAAGTGGGAAAGTTATCCAATGACTCTTTAATGTTGACTAGAGAAAGGATTTGTACCCCATGAAATCAACAAAGTAGCCAACTAGAAAAGAGATAATGAGATGCACTGTCACAGTTACAATGAGAATAATTTTGGGATTTGGATTATTTAATGAGCACACAATGGCCTAATACTCATGAATTATGGAACGGGGCTATTTACACCCACTTTACAGCAAAGAGGTGTGCACCTTTCATTACCTAGATATAGTAACGACCGCTTAGAAAATTAAATTGTTGGCCCGATACTAACTTGCTCATTGGCATATAGTTATTAACCATTAGGCGTAATTATTAACCACCATACATCCGTACACCTGAAGTCGCCAAATTGACGAATTGTAACAACACTGTCACGCAAACACGGGAATCACATCTCGCTACTAGGCAAATCACTCATGAGGCCTAAGGGCTTTTAATGTATAAAGCAAGCCACAAAAATGTGGGTTTGGGTTACTTTTCAGCAGCTGCATGGAGGTGTTCAGGTCAATAATACGACCCAAACAAAAAAAATCCACCATTGTAATTGTTTGCTACAGGTGTTTAAAATTGCCGTACTCTTTCTGGGATGTGGTTTATGCTGTGGTTTGCATTATGGTCGGTGGTGCTGTATGCTCCTTCATAGCAATGGCCAGCGTGTGGAAAAGCTGCACGTGTCAATACGTGCCACAGCAATAGGTGATTCAAACAGCACAGCCCTAGTACCTCAAGCACGCTACTCCTAAGTCACGCTACGGGACGGCTAAGCTGTCACTTTGCTTGTGTTCTCAGAAAGGCAGTGAATGAAGGCGTGCCGTAACTGTTGGCCAACTGTCTCCACCAAAGGTTCAGCTCCCATTGAGATATTTGCCAATTCCAGTATGCAGTACACCTTGTGGGTGATACTGTGGGTTAGAGCAACCGGCTAAACATTGGAAGGTTGAGAGCTGTCATTTCAGTATGGGAGATGCTCAACTTATCCCATTATCCCTTCCAGGTCTATAAAATAAGTAGAAACTTGCACAAAGTCAAAAGTGGTTGCCATATGGAGGAATGTTTCACCACTCAGGCCATAAGTATCATTGAGCAGCGCCTGACACTCAGCAACAACAGAACAATTCATAGATTCAAAACATATTCATTCTTAAAAGACATGCATTCAATTGCAAATATAAGAACGGATGTTTTTGTATGCATATATTCTGTACGTATTGGGTCCACATAACCCCTACAGCCACTACAGGCATAACAATCCATGGCAGTGTTAATATTGACTCTTGATTCGAATCGCAGCCCTGAATCGCGACAATTGATACAAACGTTCTGAATGGTATAGTTTTTAAGTACAGGTTAATGTACTTACATGATTATTTTTATCTGCAAATGTATTTCTTATTGTCACATCTAATTTTTATTCTTGCCGTATTGTGCCACCACGCCATATTCCCCCTTGACCTTACACCACAAGAGCAGCTCGTATTGGTACCACAATCACCATATCCTTCTGCCATTATCAGATGCTGTTATATTAAGGTGACAATAAATGATAAAATACAGTACATCAATTCACAAATGGTGGAAAAATTACTAAAATCAGTCTAACATATGCAATGCCATCAGCACCAGATATGTGCTCTAGCATACATTGAAATTACATTCCTTACGAATGTTGTTGTGTTCCACGCGCCAACAAGTTAAACAGAGAAATTCCATGAAGTTTTCAATTGTGTTTCTATATTTAGAAAATCAACATCCATCGGACCACGGAAGAATTCCATGAAATCTATAACGGTCCAGCTATTCAAAACCAAAATTCCATATTGGTGTTGAAGAATTCCTTGATATCTCAATAACCACATTCCAATTTGTGGGCAACACTCACATTATATTTTCCATGATTTTTCAAAAACCTTTATTCCAAAGAGCCAAATATAAATGGAAGAATATTTAAAATGATATTTATAATTCGACGATGAGAATGCTAATATTAGCGATGATTGTCATGTTGATAATGTAAAAATCTATATTGTATACACAACGTAATATTTATAATCACTTTATAACCACCAGAGCTTTTAGACACGTGTTGACAAACCCAGCTAATGCAAGCAAAAGGTAATTTATCAATGCATACTAACAGTATCGTACTTTGTCAAGTTAACTTTGTCGGAATTTTTAGATAGATTGTACTCTGAATAATTCTGGGATGATAACAATAGTCTACATAACAGTTTTACATTGCCTTTATTGTGCAACATATTTATTGCGTAATAAGGCATTTTAAGATTTTTGTTATATATTAAAAATGCTTTAACTGATTTATTTCAAGCTTGCATTAAAGCATCGGCTTGATTTGCATTCTATAATTGAGACGATATTACAAAACGTAAGCGCTATTTCGAAAATATAAGTCCTAAAAAACGTAACTTTCAAAGATACTCATATTGATAACGTGAATGTCACCGTTGGACTTATTTTGAAACATGTAGCTGGCTGGTATTGTGGTAGGGTGCTCGACTCACAAAACAAGCATCAACGTGGCCCACCATAACGTCTATGGTTGATAAAATAAGTACAGATTTTTTTGTAATGTCAAGAATGTTTGGAATTAAAATACTGGTGCCCACCATAAGCAAGCGGAGTTTCCACCAGTGGCTCAGGGCTGCCAGCGGAGATAAACACTGCTCACTCAGGGCTGTGGTTTTTGTTTGCTTCCACTCACTATATACTAGATCTTCTGGAGCTGCTGTCGAAACAATGGTGAAAATTTATTAAATCTCATCAACTCTGTCCACTCAGCCATATAAACGGGTACACTACAGTTAGCCAATCGGCAGGTAGTGTACGCTGGGGTGAAGTGTGGATATTCCCACCTCTTTGAGAAATTTCCACCAGCGTGGAAGAAGAGGCCAAAATAACCTCCAGAAGGGCTCTCTAAAGCTCCCTCTAGAGGGGGCCCTTCCTCCAGCAGGGCTGTGAGCAAGCAATTGCCATGCTACAAACACCCGTACATTTTTATTCTAATTTAACATGAGATGCAAGTAAACAAATTTAATAGCTCAGTGGTTTTGCCCCCTATTTTTTTTAAATTGTAAAGTAAACAGACACAGATGTAAACACTCATACAGTGCGCTCATCAAAAGCGTAGAGTCAGCGTGCCTATAACAAGCAAGGTTCCCATTGAAAATGCAAATGCTTCGTGGTACGATCTTTTGTGGATTGTTAAATTTAGCCACCAATCGTTGCTATTTTCATCCGAACGCTAACATATGGTGGCAGCGCCACCGAGATTATCGGTGCAGGAAACGTGGGATTTTTTTGTGTTGTTTTCTTTCCTTTCTGCGGCCGCTGCACTTTTCAGGTAAAGGTCTGCGCTTACCAATGGCACAGACGCCCACACGCCCCCCCCCCCGCCCCCCACTCGTTTCCCCTTCTCGTTTTTTCTTTTTCCAGTCGTGCGCCTGTTGACCATACCCACACAACGGGGTCCCAAAACTGGATGGCCCAGCTCATAGCGTGGCCCGGCCACTGAAACAGAACTGGCAGAGCTTTTCCACTCTCTCTCTCTCTCCCTCCCATGACACAGCAGGCATTCCTATTTTAAAAATCCGAGTTGACAAACTTTCCACGGTATTTTATGAAGAGGCAATAACGCACGACGCGTGCTCTCAAGAAGCACGCGCTGACGATGATCAGAAGGCGGTTCTTACAAACCAATGATGCCAAGACACACGGCATGAAATTGTAAGGGAAATGGATTTAATGCTGGCAAGAATGTCACAACCAATGTATTATAATCTGGTTACGTGGGTGCAGAGTAACCATGTGCACTTTAAGCTAAAGATATTCTCTAAGATTACAGGCCCATTTTACTAACACAGACGAAGATCCCCCGTATAGCCTTCGCAGACTGTTGGGGCAAGTGCTGTTGGCGAGTAGCAGCGCCTGTGAAGGCCGGCACTGTGGAACACGCAGGGGGTGGGTGGCCAGCACCACGCCCAGCCGCCAATGGCTCCCTAGTGGCGACGTTCACACACCGCAGCAGGCACTCGTTTGAGGCTGAGTCGACCTAGGGGAAGCCCATAAGCAGTTCAGATAATCGTCGCTGGTGGTGACAGTGAGCGGGAATCGAACTCGGGTTACCGGGTTTATAGCGCAACACGTTAATTGCGACACTTTCGCTGACCCGAAGGAACTGGCTCGTACAAAAGCCATGCAGCTAGCACGCTTTATAAATGGAAACACCTTGTACCCAGGTGTCTTGGAAAGTATATTTTGGCCAAAGTACAGCACCGAGCTGATGAGATCCAACAGTTCAAAACATGCGCGCCCGTGACTGCTTTTTCCAAGCCAAACACATAAAAGTGTAAAACAAACACACACACATATCTGTCAATTTGTGTGTACATGAAAGATCTCGGGAAGCATTCTTAAGTAGGGTCCGTTGCCAAATGGCCAAAGCCAAGACATCGGTGTGCGGTTTTAATTTAAGTTTATCCCAGGAAAAAAATAGCTCGATGATGATAATGATGATGATGTCATTACATGCACAATGATGTAATATATTTCCCTAAAGGTACCCAGTGAATTTGAACCGTCGGGCTCGACATAAATTGGCTGAGCGGCAGGTGCGTCAAACCACCTGACCTATCGTTTCCACGCCCACCCTGTGCCCAGACGCAGGCGTT